AGTGTGGTTCAGTAATACATTACCACACAACTAGGCAAGGGACAGCACAAAGGATGAAAGATCTTGTATGAGACAAAACATTCAGCAGGCAAGAAAGAAAATCCCACACTCTATCCAATTTGTTCTCCAGTTTGTTCATTCTTAAGCAGTGTTCAGAGAAAAGTGGCTTGGTGCCAACAGCCCTGCCTGTCTTAGACGAGAGTGTCTTGGGTCTGGCTAAAACCAAGGACACTCTCAGAGCACATTCAAGACTATCTGTGTTTAGCATTTCTTCCCCAGGGGAAATAGCCAGTTTCTCTGCAAGAAGGCAGCAGCCAAGGCCATTTCAGCAAACACCTGCATTTTAGCCCCTCTCATTGAGACCCGACAAGACTCAGAAAGGAAAATACCCTCTGTGTTTTTGAATTAGTGGTTTCTTTCCAGGACCTGAAGTTTTAGAATCCAGGAAGTCACAGTTTCCCCCATCTAGCTTTATGGACTGTGGGTTCATGAGATGCCCTTTTGTTCTGGAGACCCGTCTGCTTCTTCACTCAGCCTGTGGTCACTGTCCAACCTGAGGTGTGTCCTTGCTCACACTGGTAGAGGGGAAGACAGTCGGACTTCAGATCTGTTCTGGACGCAGGCGTCAGGGCAAGGGTTCTAGCCCATCAATGCCAACATTTTCAGACACTATGTGTGTGTTTGTTTGTTAAAGGTTGATACTGAAAAATTTATGCCTGATAATTTTTTAAGTATAAACAGGCTTTTCACCATCAATTTTCAGTTACAGACATACAAAACTTATCAACAAATTGTGCTGTTCTTTTTTATGAGCACACACTTGCAGGACGTAATGTTTCTATTCCTTGTGTGCAGTTGTTTCCTGTACCTAACACTTAATTCTGTTTTCTCCTCCTTTCCCTCCCATCCTTCTCTCTCTTCATATCTCTTGATCTCCTTCCCATTTGAGAAAGGCCTATTTCCCTAGTTCCTATTATCTATCTTGTTTGTTGCTCTTCACTTGTAATTCGGGTTTCTCATATAAGAGAAAGCATGTGATATTTAAAGTTGTGAAGCTGATTTATTTCACTTAACATTATGGTCTTAAGCTGCATCCATTTTCCTACAAATGACTCAGATTTATTTTTCTTTATGATCAAGTAGTACTCCACCATGTATACATAACACATGTTCTTTATTCATCTGTTGATAGATACATAGGCTGCTTCCAAGGTCCAGCTATTTTGAACTGTACTATTATAAAAATGGGGGGCTGGGGATTTAGCTCAGCGGCAAAAAGCTCCTGCCTGGCAAGAGCAAGGTCGTGAGTTCGGTTCCCGGTACCGGAGAAAAAAAAAAAAAAAAAAAAACTTTACCAAGTTATAAAAATGGGTATGCATTATCACTGTAATATGATGTCTTTGCACTCTTTGAGAAAGATACCTAGAAATATAATTTCTAGGTCAAATAGAATTTCTAGCTTTAGTTTTTTGAGGACTCTCTAGACTCTAGCCTCATTTTCATCGTGTTGTACTGGTTTACATTCCTAGCAACATGGTAGAAGGACTCTTCACCCCACAGCCTCGCCAGCATGTTATTGGTTGATTTCTTGCTGACAGCCATGCTTTCTGGGTTTAAAAAATGTGCTCTCAGTGTTGTCCTAATATGTGTTTCTCTAATGGCCACCAATGTTGGTCATTTTCTCATGATTTTTTTTTGTTGTTGTTGTTGTTGTTTTTGTTTTTTTCTGGTACTGGGAATCGAACTCACGATCTTGCACTTGCCAGGCAAGTGCTGTGCCCTTGAGCTAAATCCCCAGCCCCTATTTTCTCATGATTTATTAGCCATTTGTACTTCTTTTTTATGAAAAAAGATAAAGCAATTTCATAACAGATAATAGGAGAATAACAACAGTTAATGCATTGCATATTGTCATCGTCAAAATAATCAGAGTACAAGATATGGGCATAGAAAATTCTCCAATTGATATTAGCACAAACCTCTTTTCAATGAACTAAGACACACTAATAGCAAAACTAACTTGCATTTTTTCCTCCCTTTTCCCTTCCTTCCTTTCCTCTTTCCCTTATCTTAGTTCCTTTTCCTTTTAAACAATTCCTTCCCATTTCACTATCTATTGTACATTTCAGACCTTATTTACTCTTACAAATTCTCACTAGGGAGACAATACAATGTTTACATATGTGAGTATGATTTATTTCACTTATGATCTCAAGTTACATCCATTTACCTATAAAAGTCTCAAGTTTATCCTTCTTTATGGCTGAGTAGTACCCCATTGTATAAAAGCACCACATCTTTTTTTTAATCTTTTTTCCTTTTTGAGGGGTATGAAAATTTATTGGAGAATAGGAATGGAAGATGGTGGATAGGAATAGATCCTGAGAGACAGGAGGGATCGAGATATTGTAAAGGTGTGATGAAATAAAAAGCAAACTCTTATCTCCTTGCAAGTGGCTTGGTAGAACCTCCAAGATGATATGGGGAAAATGCTAGATGTCAAATAAACCAAGTTCATGTTCCCTGAGGTCAAAGAATGAATTCTAAGAAACAGTGGAGGTTAAGAGATGAAAAACGTATTGGAGAATAAGAATGAGGAATAGGGAATAGGAATAGCTTCTGAGAGACAGGAGAGGTCCTGAATGGGTTGCCTCTATTTGTACTTCTGTGAAGTTTATATTCATTTAATTTGCTTACCTTTGATTGGGTCTTTTATTTTGGGGTGCCTAATTTTTTGAGTTCTTTATATATTCTGAATATTTGTCCTCTGTCTCTGAGAAATAGATGGAAATTTTTTCACATTTGCAGCTTATCTTTTCACTCTATTGCTTATTTCTTTTGCTGTGCAGAAATTTTTTAATTTGATCTGATCCCATTTGTTGATTCTAGGTGCTATTTCCTTACAACAAGGTTTCTGTTCAGAAAGTCTTTGCCTATACCTGGGACATCAAGAATTTTATCTGTTTTATCCTCTAGTGGGTTAAGAGTTTTGTTTTAACATTCAGTTCTTTGATTCATTTTTATTTTATTTCGTTTTCGTGCATGGGGAGAGATAGAGTAGACCCCACTGTTTCTGAGCGTAATACAAGCTGAACCTGGCCTCTCACCACAGAGAACCGTTCCCATGCCTTTCCCAACCTGAGCTTAAATTTCTCTCTATAACTGCCTCCTGTGGCTTCCCTCACTCAGTCACTGTGAGAGGTTTACACTTGGGGCCCTGAGGTGAAATTATTTTTTAGTTTTTCTGAGTCTCATGTTGGGAGCCGCTGAAGCTGGACAATAATTACATGTGCAGGATGAAGCCAGCCTGAGAACATGGGAGCTCCTTGAAGTAAACAAGTTCCTTGGAGTAAATAAGCCTTTGTAACTTGTTAACTGGTTGCTGGGAAATGAGACAAAGAATTAATCAACCTCTCCAGGGTATAAATGAACGCTCTACTGTTTTCAGGCACTCCTCTTGCTCCATCAGGCAAGAAGTAACTCCACCTAACTCCAGCTCTCGTCTCTTGTCTTTATTTTTCTCATACCCACCGCCATTTCTCTCCAGGGTACAACAAGAGACCAACGAGGTTCCCTACAGTCTCAGACTTAAATAATTCACCCTTCCCCAAATGGTGCCTGATTAAGGCCTCTGTCAATATGGCTGGCATCACACAGGATTCCCTCTTCAGCTGTTACCTGCTGTGTGGAAAGTTACCTTGGATCAAAACTACTACTTTTGGAGTTCACAAGAGCTACAGGCTCCTCCTGGGGCAGACACCCCAGGCTGGTCTGTCATTTCTTCCTGGAGCTCCCTGGCCCTGGAGGTTTATCTTGTGTCTGTGGGGCAGGGTTGTCTTCCTCAGGAGCTAGGGTAAGCTTCCAGGCTGCTTTGTTCTTTTCTCTGCACTGAGGTCCATTTCTCCAACTTCTCTATAGTTTCTAATTTTCCTGTCAGTTCCTTCCTGATTCCCAGAGATCTACTTCTTTTTTTTCTCTTTGTTAAGTTGTTGTTTTCCAGGTTCTGGACACTGGATCTTGGAAAGGCTGAATTTTGCTGCTGATTATCACTCTGCCATTTTATTTCCCCTCTCTAATGCATTTTTAAAAAAAATATCTAACACATCTGAACTCTATTAAACTACCCGTGGAGAGAATTTGTTACATCAGAAAATAAGAATATTCTAAGATTGTAGGAGAACTCGGCACAGAGAAAGAGATATGATTAAATGACAATGAAAATTCTGTGTCTCAGAAAATGCTCAGTTGACTTTGGGTCATTAAGTGCCTCCTGAACTAAATAAAGTATGGCATTCACTTAACAAGCACCTGATATGAGTCATGCAATGGCTAGATTTGGAGGCACACAGTGCAAATATGTTTCTGTAGCTGGCTCTGTCTGCTCTGTAACACTAGCTACACATGGTGATACTACCAGATGCCACCACCAAACCCCTGAAATGTCTGTCTCCAGCCTAGTTTCATCATGGTGAGCTGCCTCCCTTAAAGCTACCTCTTCCAAAGACCAGCTGAATACTAGGTCATTTTCTCAGTCATCCTGTGAAGCAAAACATAGGTTTTGTTGATAAAAATGTATTAACCAAAACAAATACTTTATGTTTCCTGAAGAAGATAGACCTTAAAAGCCTACAAGATGGACTTTAAAATTTTAGATAAAGTATAATTCAGTGATCTATGAACCAGAATTCACAGGGTATTTGGTCTGAATCTTGCTTTTTCTGATTAGTTTCAAAGATATTATGATTGAAGCTATCAAAAAGATATAATAGTATAATTTTTAAAAGCTAAAAGGTTTGTTTTCAAAATACTATATTAATGAGTCTTTAGGAACTAACAACATTCTTTTATGAAAATATATTTCTTGACTTTCAAATAATCATAAAAGACTTTGAAATACTAAAAACTATCACAGCATCAAAAATAAGGTAGTTTTATGATGGAATCACAAAGAACTGAGAGTCCCTCCCAGAATTCTGATTCTTATGGGCACTGATGTCATAGTGTCCTAGGCTTAGGAGCTGAAGGCCCCAGGGAGGGAGCTCTTAGGAGACAGTGAAATACTGCACAAATTGCATCATTTTCCCAATGAATTTTATATTGTTCATTTTTTTATCTGGGTTTTTCTTCTCAGGGGTTAGTAACTTGAAACCCAACATGAAAGGTGAGTAAACATTTAAAATTTCACAGAAATAACAGATAAGAAGAATGACACTTAATCAAGGAAAAACTGGTATGTGGCAATTTTCTGAGGATAAAAATTCATTGTTGGGGATGCGGTATGATTTATATTGTAATTTTCTATCACAAATTATTTGTGATGCTTTACTACAGTTACATGTTATGGTGTCTTTAGATGCGATGGAGCATGATAAAGAAGAGGAAAATCTGGCCAATGATTTTAATGCACATGGAGCGAAAAGGAATACAGAGGCTGATCCTCCAGAGCAAGAAGGACAGGCGCCTACGGATAATGATAAAACTAGCCATCAGTATAAAGATACAAGACAATGTAAGTCCTTACACTTAGGAGAAATATATAAAACGCACACACAAAACATGATTATACTGGATGATTCATCTTACCTCTCCTTTTGAAATGACCATACTGATTTTATGGCTTACTTCATTAATTATAACTTACCGTATAGGCTTTTCAGTGTGTGAAGTGAAATCCTCGTATTTTACAATTTTTTTCGTAAGATATTCTAAAGTTTAACAGGGTTCTTTTGGTAATTATTTCCTACTACATTAGTTCATCATGTTATTGTGGTGATTATTCACTTTAGTAAAAGTTGACATAATGATAATGAACTAAATAATGATGTACTTGGCCGGGGACTCAGTGGCGCAGCACCTGCCTGGCAAGTGCGAGGCCCTGAGTTTGATTCCCTATCCAAAAAAAAAAAAAAAAAGAGTTTCGGTCTCTTAGCGCTACTAAAATCAGGTACACAATGAGTACTAAGAGGCTCAAAATAACGGAAATCTATTCTCCACAGTTCTCCAGGCCTGGAAGTCCAACGTCTGTTCTAACTGATCAAATAAAGCCTCTCCCCACAGCGCGAGGTGAGGACACTTCCTTGCCTCTCCCGGCGTCTGGCAGCCCCAGGTGCTCCTTGCGTGGCGGCGGCATTGCCTTGGCCTCTGCCTCGCTCTCTTTGCGTGGTTTCTCCCTGTGTGTCTCTGTCTGCGTGTCTCCCTGTAAGGACATCAGTCACATCTGATTAAGAGCCCACCTACTCCAGCATAAGTTCATCTTAATTACATCTTCAACCAACCTATTTCCAAATCGGGTCGTGTCTGAGGTACCAGGTGTTAGGACTTCCATATAGGCTTCCCTGGGTGAAGGATACAATTCAACCTTTAACAGTGCAACTTCCATATATTTGGAAGGTCCATTCAAATTTAGTTTATAACTCATAATGATATAAGTATTAAGAGTTTTCTCTTAGGGCCAGGAATATAGCTCAGTGGCACTGCATCTGCCTGGCAAGTGCGATGTTGTAAGTTCGATTCCCAGTACTAAAAAAAAAGAATTTTCTTTTAGATATTGCTTGCCTTTACATCTGTTTTAGTATCCTTAATTACAGGGAAATTTCCCACTGTATAAAGCTAATTCTGTTGATGAATTCCTTTACTATTTCTACATTATCTTGCTTAAACATGACTTTTCCAATCCAATATATTAAATTATTCTTTTAATTATTTGTAATAATTTCCTATTAAGTTTTAAATTTTTGTATCTTTAATTATTTTGTATATGGCATATAAAAAGGGTAAAACAGTATATTTTTCAAAGACAATAGCCACTGTCTAAAACATGTTCTATACTTATGTGACACATTTAATATAATCTAAATTTTCATACTATATCAGAATAATTATTAATAATTTTATTGTTCTTTCCCAATCAGTCCATTCCTAACGAAACCATAGTATTTTAATTTTTATATTTTCATAACTCCCAGCATGATTGTTTTACTGTGGTTTCTTCTTATTTTTTCAAAAATCTGCTGCAAGAATTCTACTAACCTGGTAACTTAAGGATACAGTCTTTTTCATGTGTGTGGTCTGGGAGAAATTAGTGCACATGTAGATAATCACATACACATACATCCATGTCTGTGTAAAATCTTCTGTCATTCCATGAGATATCGCAAAGAACAGATAGGTATGTGTGTGTGCTTGGTCTGCCACCTTCACCCAGTTTACTTTGACCTCTTGGCTGGGTAAACATGTTCTTTAGTTTTTTTGATTACAACAAGCCCCACAGATGGTTCCTAAAAGGAGGATTCTATATGTGTACGTCTATGTCCATCTTTATTATTATTGAGCTGTATAGTTTTTAACGTGAAGGGCGCTATGGCACAACAAAAGTTTCAAATGAAGGCTGCTTATTTTGGGGTTTTATCAATACAGACAGTGATAATGTTGCATATCCACAAATCTACTTTGGGACCCATTATGGACTTACATGTTTTCCTTGAATTTCATCAATAATTGTTGCTCCAATTCACTTAGCACAATGACTTTTATCCTCATGATTTTTTAGTATCACTGTTGTCCCATTTAACTGAAGATAAAAAACTACTCAGTGTGCATGTTTTAAGTAAAAAAATCTCATGGGAAAAATGATAATGTACAAGAAGTCATTTAGATATTTGCTGAAGAGTCTTGCTTTTGTGTTTTTCAGATGAGTTCGTCACACAAAATCCAAACAGTAATGATTCTGAAATAACTGTGAAAGCAACAACAGATCTGACTTTTGCCCTGAAGAACTGTGAGTACTGAATGGCACCACTGTACTTGTGAACCCCTTAAGGAAGGATTGGATATCAGCACTAGGGAGTGTTGTGGAGGAAAGGAGTCTTGGCTCCAGAACTAAAAGCCTAGGAGTTTCCCCATTAGGTAGACTCTGATTCTGGCCCCCGGATGAATTCCTAGTCATCCCGTAGGTTTTTCTCACTCTTCCCCTATATCATACTTTGGAGGCTGAAGTCCATTCCACTGATAATTCAGAAGGTAGGAAGGCTTTTGTCTTTGTGAACCTAGTATTCTGGTTTGCCTGGAAAGAAAAATTAAATAGCTAAATTTAGAAATCTGAGATATTATGCATCTTTCTTAAACCCACAATTTTACTCCTTTATTAAAAAACCCTTCAACAAGCAGAAATGGGAAAGAGAATATCTCTTTCTGGCTGTGGCAGACAAAACAGACTCACTAAATGCCTAATTATTAATAAAGCTACTTGATCATAGTGGAATGTTTTGAATAATTCCAAACATGAGACCATGCTATCTCCAGGGAAGATATTAATTAGATAATGGAAATCTTGCTGTGTATAGCAAATAGCATCTTGAATTACCTGAGACAAGACAGAGAAAGTCAGAGCTCCAAAGCAGACTGGGACCCTAAAACTCCCTGAGGATATGGGATACTGAGAACCATAGGACCCGCAGATTTGACTCCAAAAATCCTAACTTCTGTTCCCACAATTCAGGCCCCAGGGGCTGTCAAGAAACAGCCTGGAATGAGAAATTCCTGCCCTCTTAACAGAGGTTCCAACAACATGTGCATGCATGGTGGGGACAGCCTAGAGGACAAGGCCCTGGAGGACATAGAGAGGCCTAGGCTAATTTTGACTAAATATGGCTTGCTTGAGTATAGTTATTAAAGTTCCAAGAAGAAGGTGTACACTGAAGCAACCAGTTGCTTTTCTCTGAAGTGGAGCGTAATGGGTGCATAGCAAAGTTTAAGAGCTTAACTGATTTGGGTCCTACCTGAAGCAATGCCAGCTCCATCATTGGAGCCCTTCTCCATCCTTTCTTGTGACAAGTTTGTGAGCTGTGTCTGAATGCATTTCTGTCTCTCTGTAATGCTCCTCTTTCCTGAGGTGGTCTGTATACATATGGAACTTATACTGGATGTGGTATTCAGCAAAGTTAACTACTACGTCCAGCTACATGGAGAAAAGTGGCCCTTGAGCCACAGTTGTTCCCAAACCCTCTCTCAGTGACACACCTGCAGAGGGCCACACTCTAGACTGAGTTATACCCTAAGTGTATTAGTCACTTTGTCATCACTAGAACAAAACACTTGACACCCGAAATTTAAAGGAAGAGAGATTTATTGTATCTCAGTTTCAGGGCTGTTGTAGTCAGGGTTTATAAGGAAAACAATTTAATACAAGACACATAAATTTTATAGAATTATTTTATAATAGTCACCCAAAACATCATCTACAAAAGAATGCAGGAAATATGTCCACACACTAAAGACCAAAAGAGTCCAGCTGAGGGCCTACATCACACAGCAATGTCCTGCATGTGTCCAGCTGAAGACCTGTGACAATGCCCCCTCAAGTCCAACTGGAGGCCTAGAGCCCACAACAATGTTTCATGCAAGTCTGGTTCAAGGATCTGCACTGGGAAGGCACTGCTCAAAGTAAGGAGCAGAGCTCCCCAAAGTGAACCATAGCCATTCTCAGCAGCAGTAAGGTCCTAGTCTCCTCCAATGATGAGAACAGCCTAGTTCATATCAGGAAAGCCAGCATGACAATCTCCTTTAGGAAACCAACAGCCCCCAGGAGAACCAACAGCCCTAACTTCTTCCTCTCCAGTTCTTATTTTTATATTGTTGGCAACAATCCTCAGGTTGGCCTGAGGACCCAGCACTACACTAGTTCAGTTCAGCTGGGTGTTACAAGTTGACCACCAGTTGTCAATCCACCACAAGGGAATTTAGTCCATAGTTGGCTAGCTCCAAGGTAGGAATGGCATACTAGAATAGCATGACAGAAGTAAACTGTTCACCACATGCTGGCCAGAAAACAGAGAGAAGAGAGGAGCCAGGGATAAGGATATACCCTTTCACATCATGCTCCCAGTGACCCCAGCCCCTGCAACAATGCCCCACTTCCAAAAATGAGATTTTGAGGGGACATTTTAAATCTAAATTATAATATTGTCCCCATGGCATGAATCACCAAAGTCTTAACAGTTGAAAAGTCCAAATCCAAAGTCTCCTGTGAGACTCAAGACAAATTCTTAGCTGTGATCCTCTATAAAAATCAAAACATGTACTTCTGACATATAATGACACAAGGTAAACATTGCTACTCCAAAAGTGAGGAATAAAGAAATAGAAATTGGACCAAAGCAAGACCAAACCCTGGGGGGACAAGTGTTAAATCCTATAGCTGTGTGTCCAGCACCTGGGGCAGGTTGTGGCAAAATATCAGCTCCAAAGGCCTCAGGCAGCCCCTCCCATGGCCTTGCTATTTGCCTCTCTCTTGAGCTGGATTTGCTTGCTGCCTGCAGTTTTCCTCACAACATTTTCCAATACCTGGCATCTCCAAGCTCCTTGGGTCTCTACAGCACTTTGGTTTTACTATCACAATTTCATGCAGTGTCCTCTCAGGGGCATGCTGTCTGGCTTCATGGGCCTTCTTCTGAAATCTGAGTGTATTCTTCATGCCTGAAAAATCAGCACAATGTGGATGATGCCAGTGTCTGCCACTGGCTTACCCAGTACCACAGGTCCCTTGGATCATTACTGAAATGGCCTCTGAATTCCTGGATGGTTGAACTCAGCGGGAAACTTCCCTTGTCAGCCTTGAATAAGAATGGTGCCTTGGGGTTCTCTTCTCAAAGCAAAATCTTTCAAAGGAGCCTATCTTTGTATATTCATCACCATAGGATATATGGGATTTGGCTGTTTCCTAAGATGTCTTCAAGTCATCATTCCTATTGTCCTGGTGCAAAATTCTTGTTCTCTTTTTAATATTACTCTCTAAGCACCCATGGTTTCTTCTGTTCCAACTCTGCAGGTGTTGGCTGAAAAAAACTGCAAACTTTTTATATCTTTTGATTCTAATTTTTGCTTCTATTTCTCACTAACAACCTGAGTAAAAGCAACCAGCAGTACATGTGCCATGACCTAAATGTTGGACTGCTATGAAATTTCATCCACCAGGTGCTGGGGATTTAGCTCAGCGGCACAGCACCTGCCCTGCAAGTGCGAGGTCATGAGTTTGATTCCTGGTACCAGAAAAAAAACAAAAACAAACACAAAAAAAATGAAATTTCATCCACCAGATCAACCTCTTAGGTTACAGACAAAATGTAGACACATTTTCTGCCAGAGAATAACACACATGGCTGCTAGTCCAACTGCCAGTGTAGTCCTTCTTCCCAACTGAAATCACCTGAGCCTGGCCTTTACTGTCTGCATTCCTATCAGCATCCTAGTCTTCTGAACTCTGCCCAGAATCATATATCCAAGTCATGACCCCAGTGACCTGCCCATGCAGGCCAGACCCTACCCCCTAAAGTGAGATTTTGGGTATGTTTTATATCTAAACCATAATGTTAATTTAGGCCTGCAGATACCTAATGTGTTGTCCAAAGTCTTTTCATCCATAACCCATTTACGACTGACAAGGACCTCGCACTGCCTCCCTTGATCTTGTCACACTGAGCACATCAGAGTGACTAGGATTGATATCTCAAGGCCGTGAGTCACATTTTAAGGCCCGTGCAGAGAACCTTTTAAAGCCAGTTATCTCAGCCAACTACTCTTTCTCTCTCTCCTCTAGCAGAAGATTGTCATCCCTGTTCTCCATTTTTCTTCTGTTCCACAAATCACGGGCACTTCCTTCTCACCTCAGCATTATCACAAAAACTTTATTCTTCAGTGCCTCGTTTTTTCTTTCTCCTTCTTTATGTTATTTTCAGAATATGGGTGCCAGTGTCTTTCTTGCATTGCTTCTCCTTGTTTTTCTGTCATTTTTACCCTAAAATATTCCTACTCGCAGATGTTTAGTTGATATTGACATGTTGATAATCCTTTATTTCTTTTTCTAGATAAAATCAACACTACAACTGAAATTCCCACCACGGAAGAACACGAACCTATTGCATCCCCTCAAAAAACTAAGCAAAGTATTAAAATTACTTCACTGTATTCATAACTGGACCACATCATTTTATGACTTGAAAATCTGAGTCCCTTCTCTTAATGTTACATAAAGGAATAGCATGCTAAACCATTTATGCTGCTCATTCTAAGGTCGCTAAAACATCTTCAGTGAGATGACAAGGCATAGAAACTCCGCCTTTTAGAAATTTTAAGTTTATTTTAATAAAATGTCTTTTATTTATATCTATATAAATATATTAATAAGGAAACAAATATTTTTAAATATAAAGCAAATATGCTTATTTATATTTATGGGAATATGTGAGTTTACATTAAACAAATATAAATGTATTCAATTATTATAAACATAATTTATTCATATAATGTAAAAATTTCTGCCTACTTGATAAATAAACATCTCTTTTTAGGGTTAGGATTAGTATTTCCTAACATTATTTGAGGGAAGAGAGTTGGGATTTGAGGCTGGAAAATCAAAATCATATTTTACTTTTCTACAAAGATATTATTCCTTATATTTGTGAAGCCCTAGCAACCCAGGATGAGGGAGTGATCAAATTGAAGACAGTGCATTCTTACCTGTCATTATATGAAATACTATTTTCTCTAGTTCCTAAAAATCAAATATGTTTCTAACAGGTAACTCTGAATTATAGTGCACATTCAACAGTACTTTTAAGAATATAAAATTTGCCAGGCGTGGTGGTGCACGCCTGTAATCCCAGCACCTGGGAGGCTGAGGCAGGAGTTTGTTGCAAGTTTGAGACTGGCCTGGGCCACAAAGTGAGCCCAAGGACAGCCTGAACTGCATAGTGAGACCCTGTCTCAGAAAGACCAAAAAACAAAAAACAAAAAAAACAACAAAAAAAAAACCCACTATATATAATTTCTCTAATTTTTTGATATGGTTAAAAATGGAAATCTGAATATCATGGCATTTCCCTTCTAAAGTATCTCTAGTAATTACTACTAAATTTAGGGTCATGTTCTAACTTCTCAACCAAACATTTAGGTCTGAAATGATCTGGCCTGTGTAAAAGTTTCCAGTCTTATCACTGGTCACATTCCTCCTCCAAATCCTTCCTCTAGACTACTTGAAGCTCCCAGAGCTTGCTGAACCTGCCCACAAGAGTAGCTTCTCCTTGCCTGGTAATTGATTCCTAGTCATCTAATCCTAAATTGGAACATCACCTGCCTTTCAAAATGTTGAATTAGGCTTGTGCATAGCAGCTGTTCATTTCTATTAAAGCTGCAACATAGCCAACAAATATTCTCTACCTCCAGAGTTAGGCATGAGTTCCTTCAATATAAGGCCTGTGCCTTGTATACTTCTATAACTTTAATCACAGCTACTGATAGGACCTCAAGGTATGACTGCTAAATAAATGCACTGACGAATGTTACTAAAGCCAAATTACCTTATTTTTTATCCTGTTTGTTTTTTTTAAACAGAAACAACCCCAACAGTGCCTGCACTTTGGACAAAATTAGTTGAAGGTAAATTCATTCAATTAGATGGCTGGGAAAATGTTTTGGTTTTCTAGAATCTTATGTGAGAAAGTCAAGCTCAGTCTAAATAGCATATTTCTAATACCAAGAATCAAAGTCAAGATTTGACTGTCACACGTAATAGCAAATTCAATAAAAGCCTAGAAAGTGGTATACTCCTGCAGTTTCTTATTCTTCTTCATAAGAAGTTTTACTCTTACAAATATAAAAATCTAGTTGTCCCTGGGTTAAAATCTTTAAATAAAATTTAAAATAGCCCTAGTACAGGCTAGTGTATGTAGGTATTATATCAGAGGGGACATTTACTATTTTGGGAGAGTCACAGTTCCTGAGCATCTTCCTCCAGTTTTCATTCTGCAGATGACTATTACCATCTTCCTGTTTCATGGCTTCTATTCCTCCAGATCCAGTGGTTCATGTCCAATATACAAGTTCTTTGTGTTTGTAACAGTGTGTGTACCCATAAGTACACATACATGTATACATGCAAAATATCAAATATAGACATGCATAAAAGTAATGTGTATGTTGTTAATACATAAGTATGCATGTTCAATATGCACATGTCAATCTATACATGCATGTATGAGCATACTAGCATTTATAGATGTACGTGTATATAAATATAATATATGTGTTATATATATGCATTATATATGTATATATGTCGTATTTAGTCAATCCTCATTGCATATTTTTTATTTGTATTCTGTATCACCTCTCTAAAATCTCTTTGTCACCCCAAAATTAATGATTGTGACAACCACGAGGTCATTTGTGAATGCTGGCAGAGCTTCAAAAAGTTTTAATTGCCAGACATATACAATCAGTCATACTTTGAGCTGGCCCCCAAGTGGCATGTTCAAATTTTGGATAATCTTCCTGAATGCAAGACAGCTATACTGCGCCACATGGAGAAAGCCCATGTGCTAGATAAGCTTGGTTCAGGAATGAGTTATACCTGATCTTTACCATTTTGACCATGATAATTACCATGAACAATGAGAACAAACTGCACATGTTATACACACATTTATGCACATACAATACTTTTGCCAGGTGATTCTTTTCTAAAACACCAATTTATTGTTTTAACAGCTGTAAGTGGAACGACTGTGGGCACAGGTGATAAAGATCAATTATTTCAACCAATTCCAAGTAAGAACAAAGTACCTCAATTAATAGATACATAATCCATATAGCGGCTGCAAGGTGGTACTATTCTCCCTAGTGCAGGCTGGCGTATGTAGGTATTATGTCAGAGGGGACATTTGCTCTTTTAGGAGAGTCACAGTTCCTGAGCATCTTCCTCCAGTTTCCATTTTGCGGGTGACTGTTACCATCTTCCTGTTTCAGCTTCTGTTCCTCAAGCTGATACTCCAAATACAGTGACATGGACACAGCTAGGCTTACTTTTAGTGGAGTTTTGGTTTAAAGAAAAATTTAGTAGAAAGTCCTGAGAGTTCCCACATCCCGCCCTCTTCAGCCTCCTGTTAGCACTTTCACTGGTGCCACGTGTTAAAATATACGAAGCAGCATTGATGCGTTATTGTCGACTGAAGGCCGTAACTCATACTAGGCTTCACTCTTTGTACTATACAGCACTTTTGGTTTGGAAGAATATAAAATGTCAATCACCCACCATCATATAGTCTCATACAAAGTTTCAAGGCCCTGATGTCCCTTTTTCTGTCCTCATCCCTCATTCCTTTCTCCCTTGAATGCCTGGCCACCACTGATTATACTAATTTCTCTATAGTTTTGCCTTTTTTAGAATGTCATATCGTTGGAACCAATTTTGGATAATTGTGAATAAAGCTGATATAAATATTTGTGTCAAGCTTTTTTGTGGACATAAGTTTTCTACATGTGGGTAAATATTTGGGAGCAAAATTACTGGACTATGTGGTAAGACTGCAGTATGACTAAATTTGGAAGAAACTACCAAACTGGTTTTGAAGGGGATATATTATTTTACATTCTCACCAGTAAGGAATGTGTGTGTCTGCTACTGAATACAGTTTTAATTAATGGATAATTACATTAACAAAAGAACTCTTTCTCTGAATGTAAACTTTCATGAAAAGACAATATGTTAATATCCCTCCAAACTACAAATAAATGACTCAAAAAAATAGATATCTGGTGATATATTTAAGACCTATCATCTTAGTTCTGCCCTAAATTATTTGACAAAGGTCGCCATTTGCCATGTGGTGCATCAAGAAAATGAAAGTCTTTTTTTGTTTAGAAAAGTTGTATACAGGAATGACTAATGCTGAATCATTTCAGAAATATTTTGTGACTTCTCCTCTTTAAATTGTAAGTGAATAAATTTGGCTTAATTTTCTGTCATTTATTGAGGCAATACTGTATGTTGGGTATTTTGGTGCTTTAGCTACATTTAGGTCCATCCTCAGAGCAACTCCACAAAGTGACTATTTCCTCCATATTACAGATAAAGAAATTGAGGCTTAGGACAAGAGCCTACGAAGTCTGAAATTATCTTTTCTGTATCTTTCAATGATTAGAAATTCTGAATTATTTTCTGATTCTGACCATGATCTTCATAAATGTACAATGAAAACACCTCTTTATGAAGACTCCTGGGAGGCAGAAACCAATTTAAGTGAACAGTCCATTTTAATGTGATTTGTTTATTCCCAAAGAATTTCATCTCAAAGCCCACAAAAGGCATCGGCAACTGTATACATTTCATCCTGCTTGGTCTAAAATCACGCTTTGACAATTATAGTTTTTACAAATCAGAAAACGTAGATACGGGAATTTGTATTGCTTATTACCCAAGGACTGCCTGGAAATAGTAAAAGCACATGGAATAGGGGTGGGAGGTCTGTGAGAAATGGGGAAAATGATGACATGGTCATCTAAAGTCTAATTAAAAGTTTAAGTCATATATATATTCATGGACATGTAAAATCTGGCAGTAAAGATGCATTTTCATCCATAGATTTCCTGATGTCTCTTGATCCAGACATGATGGTATGATTGATTGATTGATTGATTGATTTGGTAATGTCAGGCACACTAGTTTTAAGCTACCCAGTAATAAAATGTCAAACAGCTCTTTAGCCTCTTGGGAAAAGCCTCAGTATACCTACCCTTCAGTGTAAGAGAAAATCAGGCCATCACAACAGAATATACACCTTTCTCTTCCACAAGTCTAGTTCTTTATGTAGAAGTCAACCACTTTAACTGTAATCTCTTCAAAAATGATAGGTTCTTAAAAATGGTTCATAGTTAATACAGGGAGAAAGTCTGCTACTTTTTTTCTTTTGAGACAGGTTCTTCCCAAGTTGTCAGGCTGTCCATAGTTAGACATCTGACTGAAATCAGATTTTGCCACTTCCTGAATATGTTTTAGGGAAAAATGCATAAACCTCTGCAGTCCTGTAACATGCAGCCCTGGACAGCTACTCCAGAGTTGGCAGGAAGGTTGAAAAGGAAAGAACCCCTGCCCTGGTGGTGGCCTCCTCCTCCACCTCACGTTGGGTGTGGGACAGTGAGCAGTGAATCCTGCGATGCTCTGCAGAGTAGCTCTGCAATCCCTACTCACCCAGGGTGCACGAGGGACACACTCCTTCCATGGTCTCTTCTCTCTTTCCTCTCAGGCTCTGATGAGAACGATACAAGTGCAGAAGACCACCTACCAGGCCTAGAGGATTTCAAGCTCACATTAATTCTGGGCCTCACGCTGATAACCCTCATCATTGTTATCATTCTTTTGGCTTTCTGCATTGCTGTACTTTTCAAATTGGGGAACCTGAAGTAAGTCAGTCAAGCTTTGCAGTATTGTAACTCATGCGTGATGTCCAGCTCTCCTCCCTTCTATCTTAGTTGAAATATGGGACTCCTGAATAATATATCTGCAAGTATTCACTATGACTCCAGTTCCCTTATATAGCAGGAGCATGGGGCCATTTCTCATGGAGTATCTTCCCTGTGTGGGGAGCAAGGTCTTGAGAGGGATTAATGGGAAATTAAGAAAAAATTATAGACACATACGAAAAGGAAAGCTGGGACCAGGTGGCACATGACCTCTCTGATTGAGAGGCAGTGATAACATCTCAGTCCCAGTGTCTTTATTTATACAAAATTTAAAAAAAGGAATGAAAGAAAAAGCACATGACAAGATCCAGAGTGCAAAGTTTCAACATTTGCTGAGAACACTGAAAGCAAAACATCCTCAAAGCTATCTGTACTGTAGTTACACCAAGGCCAAACACCTGTTGATATACAACTGAGCTAGAGGTCAACTTGTTTACACAGTCTGCCTCTGGCATTCCATGTCCTTGGGACTGGCTTTGCTCTAGGCTCTGCTGACCTCAGGTTCAGTCATGGTTTAACCGCTCCACAACCTTTAGCATTCTCCCAATAGTTTTAGTCACCTACAGATAGAAATAGTCACTTGGTCTATAGATGGTCTAGATAATGCTTGTGGACATTCTCCAGCACACCGCCTAGGGTCTCACACTCCTCACTCAGGCAAGTCTTGCCTGAGATCTTCAGAAATCTCTCTCTCTCTGGCACTCTGTGTTGAACTCAGGGCCTTCTTCCAGAGGTATGTCCACATCCCTTTCTTATTTTTTATTTTGAAATGGAGTCTCACTAAATTTCTAAATTGCCCAGCCTGGGCGACGTTGGGATGCTCCTGCCCTAGTGCTCTGGGATTATAGGACTGTGCTACCATACTTGGCCCTTTTGCTTTGTTCTTTTTTTAATATAAAATTATTATATTTAACTCAAACCCAAGTAACAGGACTGTTGATTTTAAATTTCTACACTGTACAAGGTATTAGTTTCAAAAATCTTAACAAAATTATTTAATAGTCATAATTATAATTAATTGCATTTTTCATTGTAGCGTTTGATGAATGATGTATTTCTATGGTCAGTCAAGTCTCTGATCCTAGGTATTTATTTCTGCTATCCTAGTTTATTTTACATGATATTAAACTTGCACTGTTTTAGTACACTTGTCTGCGAATTCTATTCTCAAGATTTGAGACATGCTTCATTCACAGTGTACTTGGTGTTATTAAATTACAATTAAAGAAAAACTACATGTTTGTAGTGAAATAACCAATATACCAGAAAGGATACATTCATATTTTCATTTTTATAAGTACTTTTCTAAGTTGAATAATAAAATACAAGGCTGAAACAGTGTTAAAACATGCTTTTTTCTTTTTCAGTTGCAAAAGAAGAAAGAGGCAATACTTCATCAACCCAGAGCTGGCCAAACGTTCTTATTTCCACCCTTCCAAAGATGTATCAGACACCTCATTTTCTAAAAGTACACAGAGCAGCACATTTGAGGACACCAGCTCTTCAGATCCAAGAAAATCAACTTGAGAAAGTTGAAATCTTAAAATATAACAGATTTAACTTCCCCAAGCTCAGAAGACACAGGTGTCAGATTAGTCAGATTTACTCACCAGTAAGAAGCCAAATGATGAAATCAATACTGATGAACAGATAACTTTAATTTTTGTCATATATTAATTCCATAATTTTGAAATTGCTTACATTTAAATGTTCTGGTGTCTTCAAAGGAGGACACATTTAAATAAAAGTTGTCTTTTTTATAAAACTTAAAATATACTATATATACTATTATATATATAAATACATATTATGTTACATATAATATGTATTTATATATATACATAAAATATACAAAGAAATAAGGTACAGAAAGCATCAAGTAAAAACCAACTCAACAGTGACTTCTGAAAAGTAGTCACTTTAAGCTGGTTTATTGTTAAAGAGAGAACACATACATGTTTAATTTCCAGGGGTATTTTTCTTTTCTTTTCTTTTCTTTTCTTTTCTTTTCTTTTCTTTTCTTTTCTTTTCTTTTCTTAATATTGCCTATGCCTTACCACAACATTACCATCAATGCAAAAAGAGTGCACCTGGCTTGAGTTTTATTGGCCAAACACTTGTGGTATGAAGAGAGAGAACTAAACTAGTGGAAGAAGAATGAGAATCATTAAATTGTTTGTGAATTCTAGTCTCAAGATTCAAATCGTTAAATTGTTTCAAAGTCACAGGGTGGCTCTCACAGGAAAAAAAGTAAGAAAATAAAATTGTTTTCCCATTTCTAATACATCCATAATAGCTTGGGATTCCATGGTGATCCTGAAGAAAAGAAAGGAAGAGAGGATCCCAGGAAGTAGCTTCTCAGAGAGAAGGGTACCCTGGACTGAATCTTCCAGGGCTGAAGCCCTTCGGGAAAAAAAATGAAAAACATCTCAAAGACTAACTCAAGGGTATTAGTGACCTCTGTGGCTTCCACACCCGGAGTATTTCAATTTACAAAGAAAACAAACAAAATAGAGTCAGGACTTTAGGGCATAAGTCAGGTCTTCTGTGGCTGTATGTGGATGGAAAGGGAGACTCGGCAGGTTCCACTGCCTTCCTTGATTTTCACCATAATAATAGCTTCAATTTACTAAATGCTGACTTTATATCAGGCAGTGTAGTACATCGTGTCACACTGAATTTTACTGCCCTATAAAAGATGGGATTGTTTTACCAATTAAGAAAACAACCTCAGATGAGTCACATACTTTGCCTAAGATCACTTCCCAGAGAGGTGCAAAGCTACAATGTGCTTCCAACGGAGATTCACTCCATGATCCATTTAAGTGAATATTCAAATACACAACAACAGCCAAAGAACTTTAAGTTCAGCATAGGCCCCATATCCAATAAGCATGACATTCCTGAACATGAGCATTCTTTCAGCTCTTAGGAAACTGTTTTCCCTGTATTTGGCTTAGATTTCTTGATCCTTTGTCCTCCTGGAGAACACACACACACTACTCACACCCTCCTCCCCCTGCCATCTACTCTGGGGGCCCTTCCCTTTTCTCCCCAGACTCCAGCCTTAGTTTCACGCACTCTTGGTTGGGAAAGTGATGAAACTCTGCTTGGAATACTGATGGGCTATATAAGAACCTACCCTTTAAGGGTAGCAGGATAGGCGCTCACTTCTGCCTGATCACAGGGATGGTCTTGAGCAGCAGCTCATGCTACCTTCTGCCTGTGACTTTTACCATTTTCCATACCCTTTTCACAGTCCTGAGGGTTGGTGCTCATATTTGCACTGCCAGTTTGACATTTGGACTGTGGTGGGGACTGAGTCAGGTGGGTGGTTGCAGCTACATGGAGGTGCTCCAGGTGTAAAGGAATTGTGCTGAGTTCTGGTGAGAAAGAGCTTGTGAGAATATCTTTTAGGCTTGGGAAGCCTTTGACTTCAAAGTATCCCCATGTTTCCCCTCTACCAACCCATCCATCCTTGAGAAGTACTAAGAACTTTTTTCACTGAAAGTAGCTGTGGATTCATATTTGAATCACATAGCTTGTCTCTGGTTCTAAAATAAAGCATAGTAGAGAAAGTTAATGAGTGTGTCATTACTCTGGCTAAAATGTCTAAAATGGCTAGAGTAGATATGCTTAATTCAGTTTTAAAATAATTTTCTCATCCTCAGGTATTTAACACTGTATGTAGACACCGCTGAAAGGGCAGTCAGGGTACTTTGAGGGATCTGGTCTGGAGGCCAGAAAGAAGGCCAGGTTTTCCTTACTGGTATCCACAGCTCTTCTCCTGACTGCTCTAGTCTGCAAGAGAGGAAAGGACCACTCAGCCCAGTCTGGGGGAAGAGGTCTTTTCATGTGTTCAATATTGAACTCTGCCATTGTAGGGAGTGGCTGAAGCTGGAAATACTTCGGTCCTGAGAAAAACATCTTGCCTGAGACAATTTCAGTCATTAGTCACTAGGTAACTCTGTGTCTTGTGATACTAATTTTGTGAAAGTATAAATAAATTCCCCTACAGTAATCATCTAGTCTTCCTTTCCCATCTGAAAAGAGGCCACTTCACCAGACCTCAGCTTTCATCTCACCTATATTTTCTAAATCCTCTCACTTTTTTTCCCTGGGACCACCAAGGTCTGTGCTGGTTCACAGCAATTTGGCACCTGAATGGGGAAACCCATTATGGAGAATTGGTAGAATTTGAGATGCTTCTCAAATTTTGTGCACATCAGGGGAAACAAGTGCATTCATTGGCAGGTCAATATTCAGCACAGGAGTGCTTTATTGGCAATTATCAGGTACACAAATTGGGGAATGGTGGTCTATTGACCTTAATAAAAAGCCTTTACATGTTTCCTTTAAGGTGATTAATTTAAAAGACTCTCTTAATCCTCAAGATAAAAAATATTTTATCTTTAGTTAAAAAAATTCTTAAAACTTACAATAATGGAGCTATTTTAAAAGATTACTTAAAATTCTCTTGATTCCTAATAAGGTTGATGGCCTGTTTTATGTTCCTAAATTTAATTGATATAGAAAAGCCTTGATATTTTAAAAAGAGGTGTAAAGATTTGGAGTCCAATCAGAGCACTGGGGTTTAAACAGTCACTTGATTTTGACATCCCATTTAAGTGGTGGCAAGCCTACTAGTAGCCTCCAAAGGGTTGCAACTATGACAACCTTTTCATATTTGGGTCATCTTATCCAAAAAAGATATATTGTGCCCCAAACTGTTCAGATAAACCCTAACTGATTTTCAAACCTTACTTGGTAATACTAATTGGCTCCATCCAGCTTTTAGGCTAATTTCTATGGTGTTATTGATTGTCATTTTCCTTCAGACAAATTAATTCAGTTTGCTTCTGTTTTCACAGATGGGTCATTTGAGGGTAAGGGAGGCTATGTGACAGCTTCCTCTTCCAACACATAGGATACAGGTTTCATCATATGACCAAAATTCGGTTACAAATACAAAAGGAGGGATCCTTCCCTACAAAATTCACACCTCATAATAGCTTCATTTGGCAACATATGCTATTAACTTTTTAAATTTTACAAAAGGTGGAAGAACAGCAGCAGAAAGACAATTCAATCAGGTAAAGCAAAAAATCTAATTTGGGGGTCAAGGGTATGCTTGTGATTTGCTAGAACATGCTGTCCAACTGTATCATGAAGTCAGATCTGGAGAAGCTGACAATAATGAGAATAGGTCTGACCTAGAGCCTATTGAAGGAATTGACTCAGAATTCCCAGGAGATGGTAACCAAAATGGGAATCAAGGGTCTCAACAGAGTATATAAAGAAAACTGAGCTGAAAGTTACCAGTATTCTTAAGACAGAAAAAAAAATTTAAAAATATATTCATTATAGATTAAAGATTGTATTCCTTCCAAATTCTGCTTCTAAGAGATCTCTGCTAAAACAAAAAAAAACCTGATTAGCCTGTTTATTATTATAAATTTCTAAAATTGTAATAGAGTTACTATAGTTCAATTTGGTTAAAAATACATTTGTGTGCACTCTGATTTTGTAAAGTTGTTTGTTCATTTGTTCTGTGTACTTGTTATTTGTTTGTCCATTCTATAAATAGCTGTTCCTTTTTCATTTGAGCCCAACAATTTTTCTCTTTTCATTTTTTTATTTTGCAATTTTGGATCTTTTATTCATAATACAATTTGGGTTATACACGTAAAAGCATGCTTCAGTAGCTGGTCTAAGTGATATCAAAATTGTCTTTCTTATAGCTCATACAAAAATTAAGATAATTAAACAAAAATCCCTTAGGGTAGGGAGAAATTATTGGACAGGACTCCAATTGGTGAATAAAGGAGTGGCCAACATTTGTTCATTAATAAGGAGCCCCCAGTGATGTCCAGTCTCTTGGGAGACACCCTCAGTAATTTGGTCATGGTCAGAAGGTAAAGTTTTCCAGAAAAAATACAATAAGTTTTTCCTCATGAAAGATGCTTTTGGTACAAAACTAAACTAAGAAAGAAAGGTTTTCATATGTGTATGACAATTAATTATTGTTAATCTAATGGTATATTAAATGTATTCATGATTCCAGATGTACAGGTCTTCCAAAATGTAAAAAACAAGGATTGCCTATTGTGATAAGACTTTTCTTTCAGATTGAGACCTCTGCCTTTAACAAAAAACTCGTGATGCACATCCCATCAAAGGACAACAAATTAGGTAAAGGCTTCTTATGTACTGGGTAGAGATGAGTTGTTAAAAGTGTTGTGCTATGTCAAAATGAAAATTTAAGTATGTTGCAAAATATCATGATTGTCATGCTGCAGTGTTATGTATGGTTTGATTTCTAAATTTCTGTGTAAAAATATGTAACTGTTGTCTGTTAACAATCTATAGGGATTTAGATATTAGAATATCCATGGTTGTTAGAAAATAATGGTTCCATTTTATGTTCTAAGGCATTTGATATTCAGATATGATAGTAATATTAAGCTCACTGCCTCCACTACAATGTAATATCATTAATCTTCTTTTCTGGATGTTTAACAACTGAGGTTTGGAGACCAAAAAATTGGAGAGATAGGTGAGCTGAGAGAGGAATTTTGGCTCTGATCCTCTGAGGTCAATGAGGACCCCAGATATAAGAGAATCTCTGCTGCCACATGCTATAACTCAGTTGAGTCCCTGATCTTTTAATCAAGGAGATTATGGGGCCACAGAGAAAAGTGAACCAATTGTGTATAGTGTGCCTAAGGAGAGTCATCTTTTTGTATGAGCTATAAGA